GAATAGATGCATCCCCCACCACCCCCCCCCACCCCCACCACACACACACACAACTCAAAACCACAAAAAGAAGGGATTTAAAGAGGAGAAAAAGCATATCAGAGAAGAGAAAACATGCAGACAAAACTAACACGATTAATCATCAAGAAACAATTAGCATACCACAACCGGTGGCTTTTATGACTGCACTGCTAATCGCAGGAACTTTAGAGAACATGGAGGCCACAACCTGCAAAATAATGAAACTTTCGCATTAAGAACATCAGAAAGCATGCAGGCCAGTTTATCCAAAAAAAATTGCAGAATTCAGATCATGCCCTCACAAGGCAGTTGGCCTTGATAATTTAACTAAAGCTATTAAATGGAAAAAAATCTATAACACAACCAAATCCTATTTATAAAATGAACATTATCCTAAACAGATTTTCAGAACAAGAAGGTAAAATTGTATGAGACATAAAATGGTTTTAAAAATAATAATAATAACCGGCAACTTCAGGTATGCATAAATTGAACTGTAAGACTGTCAGCTTAATGTAAATGTCTAATTCAAGTGCAGAAACAGCTGCAAAACAACAGGGTGGATGATGACATCTTGTTGTTAGAACTAATATTTAGACTAAGGAAAATGGGGAGAAGAAGTCACCTATAGACAAGAAGCCTTCTATTTGAGGGGAAGAGAATTTTGACACATACAAGACATTGATGCTCAACAATGAAATAAAGCCTAGACCCAGGTGATCTCTATGCCAAATGCAGCCTATAGCAAGATCCAGGCTCATATCCCAGTCATTTCCTTTTCTCTCCTAATAACTAATGCAAACAATATTTATTTGATTTCCATCACTTCTTAATAAGTTTGTTGACAACCACTCCAAAAGGTAGCGAATACACCTTCCCATAAGTATTATCACTTAATTATACAAGTTAGATGTGCAGGAAGAAGGGTAAACAATAACATCAGTCAGCAGAAAGATATCCCATTGAAAAGCCAAACAGTCTGATGCAGAAGTCAGCAACTTACTGATGGCGGAGTCTCTTTCAAAGAAGAAAAGTGACACTTTGGAATGATAAGCGAGTGCCTGAAGAAAGGGAATAAAAGGCAAAACACTAATTCAGCTATGATTACCTGTTAAATAAAGATAAATTCCAAACACTTGATGAAATAATGTGACACTGTGATGATTGAAGTGCTAATACAATATGAGGTAGACCTATAATCACATGAAGGAAGGTTATATCTCAAGAGACCAACAACCTCTGGGAATCTATGGGGACTGAAGGAAGAATGTAACAATGGAAGCAAAGTACCAATTTAAGTGATATCAACTTGTTAGTTCTCACTGGGGCACGTACATCAGGTTCTGGTATTTGCCAAGAGTCCTTTTACTTGGTATGTAGCGTAAGAACATGTGTCAAAGTTAGAGTTTCTGTTTTTAGAGAATCAATCATTTGTCTTAAAACACATATTATTGAGTTTTACAATGATACAGGGCTAAAACAAACGGAATAGATATGTAGGGTTTACATAACAGAACCCAATGGATCGATACAATATTACTTTATCCAAAAATAATAAACCCCAAATAGCTTGGGATTGAAGCGCAATTACTCTAGTTGTATTTTGGAGTCAATACCAAGCTAGCTTCTCAGGAACATTTGCTCAATACACACAAATCGAAAGCAGTTAGAAGTCGGCAAAATGTTTTTGCCTTAATTGCATAAATTATCTGAAAGTATGTATAAGTCTAACAATAGAACTGAGCATGGGTATAAATAGTGTCATTTCAGACATGGATTGTCATAAAGTTCTCTCTGTGGAAAATAGTTAAACAGTTAAGACTAATAGCCAATCTTCTCTCCTTCTTTTTTTATGGAGTAACTATAGCGAAACATAAATTCCCCAAGTGTCCAAATCCTAAATGCATATGGACAAATAGGAATTCTTTTTAAACTGATCTTCTTTTGGTGTTTTCATCTTTTCTGGTCATATCTCATGTCAAATCGTCAAAGATTACACTAGATAGATTAAATCAGTTAAGTCAATGCATCTTATATAGAGAATTCAGAATACATATACAATACCAATAGAACAAGAATACGTACGAGATAATGGTTAAAGAAGATACCTTACCCACAACTCAAAGGATTTGTATCTAAGATGCAGAGGCACACATCATCTTCGTAGACCTGTAGTGAAAGCATTTTATGCATGCCATTAGAAAACTAGCATGCCCGGAACAGAAACTTTATATCTTCCACATTTTGTCATGATAAAAGGTCCCGGTCTCGGAAGAGATGCCGCATCACGAGCTAAGTGGTATACGATTAACTTTCGTATGGGATGTAACTCCTATGCCACATTATGGTTGTAGACCTCCGAAAAAAAGACATGTGCAGAACTAAACATTGAAGAAATCTCAAGAGAAATAAAAGATTTGATGATCTAATCAAACAATATACTATGGTTCCCCCTTACATCCAACACTTTACTAGTCACGGGGGGGAAAAATGGGACCTTTTGAAAATGAATAAGAACTGATGCAAACTATAATCTTAAAGGAATTACACAAATAGCTTTATCAGAGCAGGTTTGAATTATCAATTCTATCTGTCTGGCAAAACTACAAAACTGATAACAATAACAAACAAACTTCCTGAAGCCTGTCGAACCAATTGGATTCTTCCTAACAAGTCAACAATAGCCATGATTCTAATACTTTCTTTCCCCTAAGCATGCTAGTCTTTTAATCATAAACATACTAATACTTCATATATCAGTCACAATCTAGCTTTGGCGGATACGATTAATAAGTAGAAGACTAAACACGAACTTCACGACTTTCCTGACACTAATAGTTGTACAAGATCTTAGGTCAAAATTTTTCTACTTGGATTCTACTGCAAGGACAAGTACATGACTCCTGCTATCCCAATGGAGTGGATAAATCCAATCATGGTAAAATTTTCAAAGCGGTTATATGGTTAACATACTTATGTCTAAGCAATACACCAATACCCTCTTCGTCCCAACAAGAAATGCAGCATTTGGAGTACTTTGGATAATGCATCTAATTTTCAAGTATTCGAGCATCTTTACCTTAAATCTTTTCTAAAATAAAATTATCTTATCTAAAAACCACTAGCACATAAAAGTGCTATAGTAAAAATAAAAGGCTTTTTAAATTCCCAGTAATGTCGTGTAATACAGGAGAGATGGAGTTTGTTTGTTTTTACGTAAATCTCTGCTTATGTTAATCCAAATAAGGCAAGCAATCCACGTCAAGATGCTTGAATGAGAAATATTGATGCTACTTCAGGTATTACCAGTTTTAGCAATCTATTCAAATAAGTAATTAAGGACCAATAATACATGTGATTGAACAATGATCACCGAATAAAGCCAAACTTACAATTGTCACCTAATATTCGACACGACAATAGAGTTGGTAAGGCTAGTTAGTCCTAAGCACATGAACAATCCAAGTACTACAATTTTTGAAAATAGGAGATAAAAAATATGGAAAACTTTTGACACCTTAATTGCGGGTGATTCGCCTCGAACAATCTTACAGAAAATGCATCCATTTTCTGTGTTCTCTGCATTGGAGCTGGAAGTGCAATTGGTAACCACGAGAGGATTAAAGCAATTTGATTTCGGCGGTGAGGTTGCCGGACAAAGATGGGAAGATAAAAGAGCCAGACGACGTCGTGCTGGCGCACTTTTGTCCATTTAAAGTAAAACCCTTTTGATTATTTGAAACAGAAAAAAGAGAGAAGAATAAGGAGGTGGTCGGAGTTGTGTAGCCATTGTTTTAGTGGTTCGAGAAGAGGACAAAACTGTGGCCTATTTGCCACGCAAACTGGTGGTTAGCTCCGTCTTATCCACAGATTTGATTTTAATTTTGATAAAATCTCACTTTATACCTATTAAGTCCAAACTATTTACCTTTTAATACCCATACCCATCTACATCCGCTTTTTGGGTCACGTTTTAACTTGTGCCCGCTTTGCAAAAAAATTGCAAGCGTACCCACTTTTTCGCGTAACTTCAGCATACGGGGCTGAAGTAGCAAAGGCAATCACGCAAAACTTCAGCATTCTAGTAGACGGGCCTGAAGTAGCAAAGGCAATACGCTGAAGTTTTTTTGTGCTAGATAAGATGCTGAAGTTATTTTGTTCATTTGTAAAAACTTCAGCACTAAAATAGCTGAAGTTTTTGAAAAAGCTTTCTAACATACTAGATAAATAATCACCTTATTCTTTCATAGTGTATTACTATTATAAAATAATCAGATTGCCAACAATATCTAAATCATAAATTTTGGAAATAATAAACGTGAAAAGAACAGAATTACGTGGAAATATCCACAAATTATTGTCTACTAACTTACGTAATTATTTATAATTTATTTTTAAATAATTTGATAAACATACTTATGACAATCATCCCATGAACTGAAGTTTCATAGCAGCACCAACAACAGCAGAAGAAAGAAGAAGAAGAAGAAGAAGAAGAAGAAGAAGAAGAAGAAGAAGAAAACGAAGGAGGAGAATGAGGAGGAGAAAGGGGGCTGAAGTTGTTTAAAAAGTGGTACAATTTAAAACTTTTAAAAAAAATGGGTATAGGTTAAATGTGGCGACCAAATAGGGCGCCCCGTGCAATTTTTACTTATTATTTCTACCCATACGGCCCAATTTATTTACCCGGCCCACATATTTCATCCGACCCAAGCTACCCACTGTCTTTAATGCCTTATCTTCGTTCTTTACACTAGACTAAAGAATCCAGCCCACCTATTTCACCCGGCCCAAGCTACCCACCGTCTTTAACGCTTGTTTTCGTCCTTTAACAGTTAACACTAGACTAGAGAACAGTTTCCAAATCTCCATAGGCAAACCATGAGAACCCATATTTCACCCAGATTCCAGTTTTTAGTTTTTTCTTCCGATTCCGTTCCATCTCTTCGTCTAGTAGTAATTTTTGGGTGAAATTTTTGCTTCTGAAAGTACATTTTAGTGAAAGTGAGTTTTCAAAATCATAGAATTTTTGCGTTTTTCTTTGTACTTTTGTGAATCAATGTCTATGGGTTGTTGTTTTCACTATGGGTCGGAAGTATTGTGCGCATAGATGGTGGCGCCATGGACAACATCATTCTTTAACACAAGTAGCTACTGAATCCGTTGCCTCAGCCATGTCCGGTCCTAATTTTTCCTTATTTTCTGATTCTCAATCTGTACTTAGTTGTAACCCTAGCAGTAGTTATGTTGAAAACACAACTGAAAATATAGAATTAGAGGGTGGAAAAGGCAACAACATTAATGCTTCGTCAGTCGATGGAACTCCCTACCAGTCATTACCCGACACAAATTTCGAACCAGTCATAGGAGGTGTTCCTGTGACTGATAAGGGAAAAGGTAAAATTGTTGAGGATTCTGAGTTAGGGGGAAGCCGACGTGAATCCGTGCCTAAAACAGAGACTTAACCAGTAGATGTTGATTGTAGCGATGATTCTCAATTAAAGAAGAAAAAAATTGGTGCCGCACCCAAGAAGGTAATTTTCTTAAAATTAGGATCTGTGCTTTTGAATGTATAGTACGTTGTTATTTTTTGATTTCCTGTTATGCTTTTGTATTATATTATAGTTATAGTTAGTTGTGTTAATTTTAAGTGAATTATATTTCTTAAATAATTTATATAATCATGTTTTGCATTGTTGAGATTCCCTTGTGCCTATAGACATAGTGTATGTGTGTTATGTGATAAGTTTTATAGTTATAGACAGTTGTTGGAACAACCCCGTACAACTATTTACCCTGTTAGTATAGCTATATACTATCATATGCTTCTGGATCCTTTTTTGGCTGTCTTCGCTATTTGTTTTTCCTTTAATAATAGTAGTATCGTAAAGTATCTTGAAAATACTTTATAGCTGCATACCTTTTTGCTTTTTCTCTTTTATTCCTATCTATTATGTAATAGTAGTATAGTCATTTATAGTTGCCGGGAATTAGCCAGTGGAATTGTATATCCTGCTGGTATAGTTATATGCCGTGTTGGTATCGTATGGTAGTTGTAATATTTTTAGTTGGTTTACTTGTATTTTTAAGTGAATTCTATTTAAATTATTTTATATGAACATGTTTTGCAGTGTTGGGATTTTCTTGTGCCTATAGACTTAGATTATAGATCAAAGGTTGATTGGGATACCAACTGCCATGTTATTCGTCAATTGAAAGAGAATTTATCAAAGAGGCAACTTCGGCTGTTTAAGAAAACATGCTTTGGATATTTTTTGAATCTGCCACCAGTTATTGTGCAGATTCGGGTTATGTGCCATTTGCTTATTAGAGAAGTACATCATGAGGTGAAAAATGAGATTCGGTTTGTAGTGAGTGATTCTAGGTTGTGCTTTGGTTTGGGTGAATTTGCACTTGTTACTGGGCTGAAATGTAAGGGTGATACAAGTATAAAGAGCATAGCAGAGAATAGGTTGATTTCAAAATTTTTGGGACTGCATCCGTGACATTGGCCCAACTAGCAGACTGTTTTACGAAGAAGAAATGGGAAACATATGATGATGTGTTGAAGATAGCAGTTCTTTATTTTGTGAACAACTTCTTACTTTCTCCATTCAAAACAAAGGTTATTTCACGGTTTTACATTGACTTGGTTGAGTACGGTGATTTTAATAATTATCCCTGGGGTATAGATGTTTATAACGCTACAATCGACTCGTGTTCCAACAAGTTTCAAGATAAGCCTTCTTTTTATAGACTCGGTGGCTTCCCGTTGGCTTTACAGATTTGGTTGTATGAATGCTGCCCAAGTTTGGATGGTCACTTTGCTGATCATATTGGAAACAAACTTCCACGAATTTTGAATTGGGTAGTCATGGGTCAAATACCGAATAAGCGAGTTGCTTTGCGAATGTCTAGCTTGCAACGCGAGTAGGTAATTTTCTCATATTTTTATTGCCTCTCTTAATATTTTGGTACAGGAGTTTAGTCACGGGTAGTTGTAGCAATATCCCAGATCAATGATATTCTCTGTTGGTATACATGTATACCATATTGTTATCATATGGTAATAGGGATCATTTCTGCTACTTATACTTTTATTGCTACTTATACTTTTAATTTTCTCATTCTTTTATTGCATCTTTTAATATTTTTTGTACAGTATTTTAGTTACGGGTAGTTGTAGCAATATCCCAGATCAATGATATTCTCTGTTGGTATACATGTATACTATATTGGTATCGTATGGTAATATGGATCTTTTCTTCTACTTATAGTTTTATTGGTACTTATACTTTTAATTTTCTCATACTTTTATTGCATCTTTTAATATTTTTGGTACAGTAGTTTAGTCACAGTTAGTTGTAGCAATATCCCAGATCAGTGATATACTCTGTTGGTATACATGTATACTATATTGGTATCATATGTTAATAGGGATCTTTTATCTTTCCATACTTTATTATCATTTCTATTTCTAACTAGTGTGCTTAATAATTGCAGCTAAAGAACATCACCCCAACTGATAATGAGAAGCAACTATTTGATGTGCGTGGTCTAAACTTTGAAATTAAAGTTGAGTGCACTGACAGTCAGCCTGATAGCTTTCAGATTTTTGGCACTCAATTGCCAAAGACACAAAGTATGCATGAAAGTACTGGAGGTGATTCCTAACCTACCAATGCTGAGGTAATAAAAGAGTTACAAGGTTTGAAGCTTTTTGTAGAGACCAAGTTTGAGGAGGTGCTTGCAGCTATTGGTAGGCAGTCAATGAAATCAGAGGGAAATTCAGCAGTATTGATCTTTTATATAATATAATGCTATAGTATATTATTCAAAGATGCAATATATGCTTATAGGATACTATTCCGTTCTTTACTTTTAGTGCACATAGTATTCTTGTAATATACATAGTAATAAAATTGTTAGTTTCTCATTTTTTAGCATAAGCAACAAGATAATGATNAAGAACTTTTAAAAAAAATAAAAAAAAATACCAAAACTCTTGGGTGTGCTTATATATGCACATATATGCTATTTTGGAAGTATTTTGGGTATAAAAATACATAGGGATAAATTGGGTATCAACAGCTATGGTAATCTATTAGCCTGTGTTTCCCGTGAGTTTCCGGGTTTTGGGATTGAGTTGTAGACTTCCGCTTATCTTTAGAGTTGTATAGGCCGGGCGGCCTTATATTCAGTTGTTATTTTTCATATGTTCAGTTTTAATTGATTATTCCTCAAGTTAAATTGTTATTTCCGCACTGTTAGGCTTATCTAGTTGTAGGGACTAGGTGCCATCACGACATGTTCATGGAGGGTGAACGGGGGTCGTGACATAATTTTTTCTTCCGATTCCGTTCTATCTCTTCGTCTAGTACCTATTTTTGGGTGAAATTTTTGCTTTGGGTAAAAATTTTGCTTCTGAAAGTACATTTTAGTGAAAGTGGGTTTTCAAAATCATAGGATTTTTGTGTTTTTCTTTGTACTTTTGTGTATCGATGTCTATGGGTTATTGTTTTCTCTATGGGTCGGAAGCATTGTGCGCGCAGATGGTGGTGCCGTGGACAATGTCATTCTTCAACACAAGTAGCTATTGAATATGTTGCCTCAGCCATGTCCGGTCCTAGTTTTTCCTTATTTTCTGATTCTCAGTCTCTATTTAGTCGTAACCCTAGCAGTAGTCATGTTGAAAACACAACTGAAAATGTAGAATTAGAGGGTGGAAAAGGCAACAATATTAATGTTTCGTCAGTCAATGAAACTCCCTACCAGTCATTACCCCACACAAATTCCGAACCAGTCATAGGAGGTGTTCCTGTG